AGAAGACCGGAGACTGGATGGTGTCTGGTGGCTGGAGGGGGGGCGGGGGCGGGGGGGGGGACTGGAGGCATTGATCAGCGTGACGATCTTGGGAATTTGATCCCTTTTGTTCCACCTGATTGATTGGAAGATCATCTCGGATTCATCTTAACGGAGGAATAAACATGTCATGCTGATTTCGATGTCAACTCTGAGTCACTGTCCAAACAGAAACGGGGACGGGGGCGAGGACACGATGACCGGCTGCGTTTTGTGGAAATGTGCGCATTAACAAGCAGCTTTTGAAAGCGCGCTTCATTTGCGTCACGGCTCTTCTGTTCGTTTGCTCTCTTGCGACTGGCCCCATACTGATAACAGACCACTGGGCCAAGAAACACATGACGTGGAGCAGCGGCGACAAAACATCATAATGGGATAACTTTATTTGGTTGGCCCGCTAATTAGTCCCTGCTGTGAAACAACTGTAGTGCAGAAAAAACATGTTCCTTCTTATACACTAAAGGTTTAATCCATCATATTTAAAGTTAAATGGATTAATTTAAACATATGAATTGCAGCATATTGGTAGTCAACATTTTCTTTTGTTGTTATTACCTGTTTATATCCTTTTTCATATAATGCATCCATATTCAATGTTAATATTTTTTTATGAAGTCAAACGGGTTATTTCGACACTAATTCATAGGCTCGTTGTTTGATGACTCCTATAGGCTATCAGAGGGATTAATCAGTGTTTAACGTTGTATTCTAACAGCCTGCATTAGAGGCTATCTATAGATAAGCCTCGAAGTGTCTTTGCTTCCGAAGTCGGTTAAACAGGTCAAATAAGACAAATGGCCTTTGCCCTACTGTAACCTGGACATAGAAATTAAAGGGGAATTAGTCCTTTATTTATTATATTTTACAGCCGACTCTCGGGTCATCTTCACCTTTCCTTTGTGTTGTCTTTCCACCATCATCAATCACGGCCCAATCATCTCCTGGTGTTAGCGGTATACGGCGACGGCCTGTCATCAGAGGCAGCGGGCTGCCCTTATCACCAGCCGTCCCACCAGGTGTAGAACCTCAGTCCGCTCTCACTAAAAATGACAACAGGAGCTCTGCGCCTCTGGCTCGTCCTCGCTCTCCAGCTGAGGTGCGTCGCTCTCCCGCTGGAGAGGGGGAAAGCAGAGCGGCAGGACGGTTTGGATACGACGAACGCGGCGAGCGAGAAGGTGGACGCCTTGCTGCAACTAAATGATCTACCTCGAGGAGTGGCGGCTCCTCACAAGAAGGCACCTCAGTTTATGTTGGATCTTTTTAACGCGGTGACAGACTCCGACGGGAGCCCGAAGAGCCAGAAGGAGATTCTGGAAGGAAACATAGTCCGAAGTTTCGAGGATAAAGGTGAGTCAAACTATCTCGTGCGCACGAACTACTAGTGTTTTGTGATATTTAGTTTGGGGGGAAAAAAAATTAAGCTATACAGCAGTATTTAATGTGATTAATTAGACTGCGTAATTCTTATCTAAATGAATTACGTTCAGCAATTACGCACGATTACGCGCAGCTAATGTCCCTGTTAAACAGCTCCTTTTCAAAACTTTGTGAGATTTCTTTACCAAAAGATTATTTTCATTTTAGCAAACTAAATATGTGTTTTATATTGGTCCCCCTGCAGGTCATGCTGGAGAGAGGTTTCACTTCTTCAATCTATCATCTTTCGGTAGAGAGGAGAGAATGATCAAAGCGGAGTTCCGTTGGTTTCGAAAGAAACAGAAGTTTTTCCTCGGAAAGCTTTATGGGCCACATTTCTATAAGGTAAAATGCCTTTTTTATGACATTTACTTATTCTGTTCTCATGTAAATATTTCACTTTCAAATATTTGACGGATACTTTTATTATTACTTGATATAGGGCTTTAACTGAGGTTTGGACATTATGGACACAGTTTAGTGAACTAACAGCTTTGTGTTGCGACTACAGGTGGATCTGTATGAGGTGCTGGACAGCCGAGTGAAGCCATGGAGAGGAAACCTCATCACCTCCAGACTGGTGCCCCTTTACACACAAGGATGGGAAGTCTTCAATGTCACTCAAACGGTAACACCCTCCCCATTGTTCAACACATTTTTGGCATTTTCTGGTCATTCATTTGACTTTTTTACATAAATGTATTTAGATCAGTGTTTGATTGCAGTGGGGCGTCATTTGCTCACACCAAATTGATATCCATATTGTTTATGAAGTATTTCTGATGTGTTTAAACCGTTCAATCTTATTCTGTATGCCAGGTGTCAAAGTGGATCCGCAACAGCCAGGAGAATAATGGCATCCTTGTGGTGACCACACTTCCCTCTGGGAGCTGGATGGAGTCAGTGGTGTCCTCATCCAAGCGGAATGGAGAGCTGACGGACACGAATGCCTACCTGGTCATATTCTCAGACGACGGGAGGACAGGAGCATCAAACCAGTCATACCTGGGTAAGGTGATGGGTGCAACATATTGGGCACTTTACGCATTTCAGTGTAGTCATCATGTGTGGAACTCCAAAACAATATATATTTTAAATTGATAAAAGAAGACAATATGAAATGAATATTCATTTGAAAATGTATAATGAACCAACAATTTGTGAAATATCTGAAGAAATGTTTAAAACTTAGGTCACAATAATGTAGTGTTATTTCATCGTCCAGTTTCATATTAGCTAATCATTTTTATTTTCATATTTGTTCTCATTTCATAATGGCATTTTTCCCAATAACACATTTTATTAGCCAGATTAGCCCATGCCTCTCCTAAGATAGCAAGCTAAACTACTGCTATAGCCTTTTACCTCCTGTTAGAGCAACAATGATGCTAAAGTAGCTCCGAATCCACCAATTAGAGTCCGCTGCTGTCATTTATCTCAGTACACAAAAACAGTAGCTGAACTTCTATGGCTTTTAAGTGCTAGTGAAACAAGGCTGCTCATGCTCCGTTTCAGTGTGTTATAAGCCATTCATTAAATGTCTGTATACTGCTTATACATGCTAAATAGGGGGACTTAAAGTAAAGTGTTGTCTTATTTTAAAAGTTGACATTTATGAATATTTTTTTCATACATGTTGCTATTCTAAGCCACGGTGTTCACCTTCCTCTTTCTATAGGACAGGCCCAACCTGCAGCACCTGAGCCTTACGATCACCGCAGCCGGAGACGGCGTGCCTCTCCGGGTTTCCTGCCCCACGGCCGCTCCCAGTCCTGCCAGCGGGTCCCCCTCTTCGTCGACTTTGAGGAGATCGGCTGGTCCGGCTGGATCATCTCCCCGCGGGGATACAACGCCTACCACTGCAAAGGCTCCTGCCCGTTCCCGCTGGGGGGGAACCTCAGAGCGACCAACCACGCCACGGTGCGCTCCATCATACACGCGCTCAAGCTCTCCAGTGACGAAGTGGGAGCCCCCTGCTGTGTTCCCGACAGACTCCAGTCCATCAGTTTGTTATATTTTGACGATGAGGAGAATGTGGTTTTGAAGCAGTATGACGACATGGTGGCACTAAGCTGCGGCTGCCATTGACTGGCTGTGCATCTCCTTCACTCTTTAACACTGGAACAATGAGGGATGGGGAGATGATGGTTTGCTTAAAACACTGTATTTTTGTGCATAATGTTAAATATTGTATTATTTTGAGAAATTAAACAACTGTTCCTCAGCTAGTAATCAGTGATCCTTTGAATAGATTTACAATTGGAGATTATTTGTTGTTTGTAGTCATAGATTAGTGATGCACTAGTTGATGATGGTTGGTAGGGAGTGTTAATTAAGATTAAACTGAAATCATAACTGTCTACTTTTTCTTCAGGTGTTTTGGGGGCCCTTGATTTGGTGACACTTAGCCAGCCCATAATAAGGGGTTAAAAAGAAATCCAATAAATGACCATTGCTTCTTCTCTCGGTTGTTAACTGGCTAGCATGGGCGTAACTGTAGACAGTGCAGGCAGTGCGGTTGCACGGGGGGCTGTTTTATGGAGAATAGGCCCTTATAAGTGATTTAGAGAACTCACACTTTTTTTTTCTCTGTAAACCAGTCAGTAACAATCTTGTATATGCTTATTCAACATACACTTTGAATAGACTATTAAAAAAACTATTCAATTAATTAAATAATTAATTTGTTATTTTCTTTGTCATAAAATTATGCGATGATGATTGCTGGGTAATATATGTTTCCTGTTGTCCAATGTAAAGTCTCTATTTAATCATGTGAAGAGATGATTTTGTGTGTGTGTGTGTGTGTGTGTGTGTGTGTGTGTGTGTGTGTGTGTGTGTGTGTGTGCCTCATAATAGCATGCATTAGGGCCCTTCATGACCATCTCATGCCACTGATTGAAAGGATGCCGGTACTTTGATTTTGAAGACACAGTATTAAATATTAAATATGATTTCATTCAAAGCCAGAGGAGGATGAGCAGCTGGATGGGAATTTAAGGACATTTAAAGTTTCATCCCCACTTTCCAGACTCTGCATTTTGTCTTAGTTCTTATTCATGTAGTTGTTCAGATTAGTAAATTTAAGCAACACACCAGCTGTTATTCCCTTTCTCATCGAGTTCCCTCCTGTCGTTACAGTAACTGACCAACAGATGGCGTGATAGAGGTCTGGTTGAAGACTACAAACCGACTCCATTACTGTAATTCCGCAGTATCTGCATGAGGTTGTGATATATGTTGAAAAACAGACTCGAAATAGACAAAATCTTAAGGGCAATTATAGAACCACTTAGTTAATACTAATGTCAGAATGATGTTAATGATATCATTTTTTGTCTGCATTTGAACTATAATTGAATCACCAATCATAACAGTTCCAATGAATAATGACTGTGCAGTGGAATGAAAGACACCAGTCGAGTCTGTAACAACAGTTGTTTTTTATTGGAATGGATCACAGACACCATACAGCCCTGCGTTAGTCTAGTTTAAAAAAATGCCAATGCAACAAACTTGCAAAACCGATTCTCCTTCATGTTCTCTGCATATTAAAAAAACATTTATTGCAACAATGCCAGTTCAAGCTTTTAGACAGTATAAACGAAAGTTTGTTTGTATCAAACACATTCAACGGGTGTAACTGCAATTTCAGATAAAGCATGCAATATGTTTCTGATCATTTCGTTGTGTGAACACGATCAGTTCAAATCAATAACATACATACAAATGAAATAGAATTTTTGAAAGTGAGTTCTATTTGTATCTCTAATGATGATTTAAGTGACTGCAAACTGTCTGGTGAAAAAAACAAAATCTCAAGGAAACAAAACTGCAGGTAATAAAACAAAAAGCCACAATACCTGAAAAGCAATGGAGACCCCAATACCACTGTCGATGTATATAACAAACTCAGCATTTACAATAAATATTCCACATTTAAATTCAAGCTTACCCTCTCTGTTTACACAAATACATTATGTACATGGATTGTCCATGTCCCTAATCTTTCTCAAGAATTGCACATTATCTTACACATATCCAACCCACATTCAGCATTCGACAACAACCATCATTAATTCACAAAATAATTATCTTCCGTCAGTTTACAGTCAAATCGAACTCGTTCCTCCTCACAGAGCCAAATGAGGCCTCAGTAGCTTCACAAAGCCTGCGCAGCTTCTGTGTGTCTATGCAAGTTAAGGCAAGTAAAGCACTACAAGGATCAGATGCTTAAAATCCACCCTAAAATGCTTTAATGCTGTTATTAAACAGGTATTGGCAAAACAGTCTAAACTCAGGGTGGATTTTTCCTTTCAAACCTCATGGCCTTTCAGCTCGGACAGTCCAGCTCCTCAGTGCCTAGAAACTCCCCTAACATGTGGTCATGTTGGCCGTAGACAGGCTCTAAATAAGGATGTCCCTCCGTACAGTGTATTTGCCTCAACCTTGGCTCCATATGATGAGCTTGTATGGTAGCTTTCTGAGCCATGGGGGACAAGGGCACCGGGACAAAGCTGTGGTAAACAACCAGAGGTGGGGTCAAAACTTCCAAGGGGGATGCCTGAGGAACAGCACCCTCTGGTGGGTGGACTGGCAGCTGCACATAGCATCCTGTTTCAGGATCAAAGAAGGTTTTTGTCTTGACTTGTATTGGCATATCTACAAAGAAGTACTGCCCGGAGTCTGGATCCTGTAGGACCTTACGTTGGGTCAAAGGAAAGGACTGCGCAACAATGGTGTGCTCAATGCTAGACTGGCGAGAAAGCTGGCTGGTGTGGCTGGTTTGGCTTGACTGCCGGGAGAGGGTTGAAGGTGGAGGCCGGTACGCATCGATACTGTGACTCCTTCTGACTATGTTGTCTCTGCTTGTCTTGTCTCTGGCTCTGCCTCTCTGCTGAAACTCGTCCATGATGGATTTTTCAATGCGCTGGGTCCTCGGATCAAGCTTCTCATTGACTGACGTATCGGCACTGAGCCTGCGCTCTACTTTATCTCCTAAGTACCTGTCAATGCTTTGTGATCGGTGGAATGGCCTGTCAGATGAGGGTCTATCGCTGAGCTGAGTTTTGTACACAGGTACATTGCTGATGACCCTATCACTACTGTAGTGTCTTTGCTCTGGCCTTTCTCGTCTGTTGCTGCTGCGGCCTTGCCTCTCTGTCGCAACACTGGGTAGCGCTTCATTGTTTTGGTTATTGCTTTCCGCCGAATCATGGCTCTGTCTTTGGGTCTTGTGACGCACGTCTGTCCGGTCGTGATGGTGGTTTTCAGTGTTGTGGCTTCTTCTTTCACAGGGTAGGTTCTCACTCTGGTCATCACTGTTTTTGCCGTGGTGACTTTCACTGTGACGGTGACTATCTTCAGTGTTTTCTCTGTGATTTCTCTCACTGCTCTTGTTACTTTTACTGCTGCTGTTTCTGTGCTCAGATTTGTCACTCTTCTGTCTGTCCCCTCGGTGTTTGCTGCTGCTTTGAGACGACTTGTGGGAAGACTTCTGGGCCTCCTCCTTCTTTATCCTTCTATTTGCCAACTTAATGGCTTTGAGAACAGCCTTTTTAGATTTGGGTAAGACCACTGGTGGTTTAGACAGCCCTGTTTGGCTTTCATTACCACTGCAGGTGGACACAGACCGTTCACTGGGAACTTTTGACACTCCAGTAGTCATTCCCATCTCATCAGCAGTATCAGCTGTGCTGGCTGTTAAGCTCTCCACTCCTTCAGATGATGGACTAACCCCAGACAATCTGTCTTCCTCCTGTGGGACAGCGAGGAACCCTCCAACTTGTGGTTTCTTTGGGTTTTCACTTTGCAGTTTTGAAGGAGACTGCAGCAGTGGAGGTGAACTGTTCGAAGGACCCTCTTTAGGTTTGAAGATTTCATCTGGGATTGCTGTGCTGCCTCTAGTGGCGTGTTCATCAGCATGAGGGAGCTCTGGATTGTCCATCACTTGCTGTACCTCCTCTCCCTTCTCTGAACCACTGAGACTCCCTCTTGGTGACCACGGTTGTACAGTCTTCAACTTCAACTTATTACTGAAAGTGTTATCTTTGACCTTAAATAAGGCAGGGATCCCCAAAGTTGGTGAGAAGATATTGGAGGCGGACATTGGTGTCTGATTATCTTCATCATGAGCTAAGGTTTGATCTGCTATGGTATTGTTTCTTTCATTGCTCTCCATGTGCGGCATTTGTGTCTCTTTTTGAGGAGATTTTATGGGATGTTTTACAACCTCTGGCTCGCATTCATGATCACTTAAAGAATAATATTCAACTTCCATTCTGTCCAAAACCTGTTTTGTGTTTTGTGAAATATTCCGCGTCTCCTCATCGACCTCCTCTACCTCTCCAATCAAGTTCTCCGGAGAGTGGTAAACATTTGACTCTGTCTCGGTATTTCTGTGCAATGCACTTTCCACAGAGAAGTAGGATGATTTTGAGGACAAGCTGGCTTTATCAGGTGGACTCTGATTGACACTAATACCATTTACCAGAAGTAAGGGAGATATTATATGTCTCGGGATTTCACTAAGATCCTCTGCATCCACATGTATTTTGTCATCAGCTCTATTTATTTTGTCAGGTTCTTCTGCCACTACATTTGTTGTTATATTGTCCTGAGGTGTGTTTAAATGATCTGGTTTTAAAGGAGCCTTCTGTTTTACCTTGTATGTTTCCTGTGTCCTGGCAATGCTGCTCGTGGCTTCCTTTGTGGGGCTCAGGTGTGCTTGCAAGTTATTTGCCTTATTTTCATTTCCTCTAAACTCTGGTGATAAACACAACCCATTTTCAGATGAATGTAAAACAGACTCACATTTAACTACATCAGTTATTGTGTTGGATTTTGAATTGGCATTGTTTACTACATCCAACCTTTCTCTGACAGAACTGGTTTCACTTTGACAGGCCTCTCCTCTGGACAGGTCACTCTCTACTTCTTGTTGTGCACCTGTACTCCGCATCTCTGTCCCTACCTCAACATTTTCATATTTTACATCTCTGTTAAAGATATCCTCTTCTACTACATCTTTCAAACTATCTGTCTCCTTAGTAACACTTCCATCTCTTCTACTTCCTCCCTTTTTGCTCCTAGGGGGAACAGGTGGAGCATCCTCCTTCTTGCCTTCAATGTGGTTTATCAGATTCTCTTCAGATATCTGTCCCACTACGTACCTGATATTCTCCTCTTCTGATTCATAGCTCGGATCATGCATTTCTTCAATGCGAGGTAACGCTAACCTACCACTTGATCTGTGAGTCTCACCAAGTTTAGGTTCAGTTTGAGACAGGATCTGTCTCATGTGATTATTATCTCTTAGATCACCTAACCTCTCTTTTAAATCGTTCTCTTTTAGTGCAAGATCGCTGCCATTTTGTTTGTCCTTGGCCTCCGTCATAGAATCTTTCATGTCTTTGTTATGTTGCTCTACCCTTGTTACATAACTTTCATCAGCGTTCTCATCAAATATTGGATTTACGTCCTGCTCTGTTAATTTAGTCTTTCTTCTCTGCCTGTCTGAGATGATCTCTTCAAGTGCCATTTTTGCTCTGTCATAATTGTCATTGATGACGGCTTTGTTTACTACAACATTGCTGTCTATCTTTGCGAAAGTCTCCTGCTTGCTCTGATCCTTCTCTCTCTGTGCAAATAGTTCTCTTTTAGCCATTGTGTTCCCTCTCATAGACAGCATGCCCTTTTTAATATTCCTTAGCTCCCTTGAGATCAAATGATTCTTAGCCCTAGCCTCCTCATCTATGTTCATAACACCTAATTTGTTCTTCGCGTTCTCGAGAACACGATCGCCGAGCCTTGCTCTCTGCAGCTCTTTCAGAGCATTCAAGTCATTAATTATATGCTCACTATCTTTCATTTCTTTGAGTGGCATTGTCTCCTCATCAGCCTCCATTATTGGGTTTACTTTCAGATCACCTTCCTCAAACGCCTCTCCTTGTTTATCACCCGTCTCTGCGTATCTCTGATATTTTATGTAATTGTTCTGTCTGGCTGAGAATATATGTTCCAGTTTGCCCTGTTTCTGGTCAAATTCATTTTCGCTTGGTGGTAAATTTAATTTTGAATCACCATTAGTGAGCTTGTCAACATAATGGGTTTGCAGTTTGTCAAGAGAGAGCTGAATCAAATCGGATTTAGTAAAATTTCTCTTTGGAACTGGTGGGGGCTCTTTCTTGACATGACCCTTTTTACCAACCAGTGCTGCTTCATTTCTGCTTTGAGATAACATATTGTTGTTTTCTGGTGTTGAACTCTTGCTGACAAACATTTCTTTAGAATCTGCAACCTTTTTATCTATTTCTCTCCCCCTTACGTCTTCTGTGTCTGAAATGGGCTTATTGATGCTATTTGACTGAGCTGCAGATAGAGCTTTATTTTTGGCTGCGTTAATTGCTTCCCTTGCTGCTCTGATCACATCCATTGTACTCATTGGTTGGCCACTATTATCTTTTTCCTTAGAGCTAACGTCTTTTTCTTTAATGTCTTTCACAGGTCTTTTTGATTTGTCTGGTGCATTTGATGCTCTTTTCTCTGCTGATACATTTAATGAAAACCCTTCTTTTTCATGTGCATTGGGTGAAGTTAGGGGTGAACGATCTTTGTTGCCATTTAAAGTATTTGGTGAAACCCCTTTGTTTGTTGGCAGTGTTTTTGGTGAGAGGTCTTTGTTTAGCGTGCGTGGAGAAAGTTTGTTTGCCTCAGTTGGTTGGTCTATGTGCATAGAGGCACCGCTGCTCAGGGGGACTAGAAGATGTTTCATATCACTGTCAACAGGGCCGGCTTTCTTGTACAAATTTAGAGATGGGTAGTTTTGCTTTTTAGCCTTGGGACTGTTGGTCTTTTTTGAGTGTATTAAGGGGGAGATGGGATTCTCCTCAATAAGACCACCTGCAGCCTCCCTTTTGGTTTGCAGTAGATTTGATAACAAATAATCATCTGAAAGAGGTCTCTCACTATCATATTTGGTATGACCAACAGTTGGAGTGTTGATAGATTCCAAAACCGGACTGCAAACTGTCTGTCTGTCTGTTAAAATGGCAGGAGTGCTTAAGCCAGATGCATAGCCTTCAGAGCCAGCTTGAGAATATTTCAGATGATCTGATTGTGGAGATTGGGTGCCACCCTCAGGCACTTCTAATGTTTTGAATTTAGGAGGGCTGTAACGGCTTTTCACCCTTTTCCTGTTGTCTTTGAGGTTGAAGAGGATGCTAGAGGCAAGCGATTTGTAGCCGTCCCGCTTGACTGGAGGTTCAGGGGTAAGTTTGGCTTCAGAGTGTGGTCTTAGTGGGAGGTCGAGGCAGGAGGGCGAGAAGATTTCAGATGTTTCCGTTGGTTGTCTGCAGGGAATGATTGGAGTCATCAGCTGGCAGATGCTGAACGGAGTCGACGCTAATGAGCTTACTTCCTCAACTGCGGTCACCTCCACAGATCTAGCCTCCTTTTTGACCAACCAAAGACTTTCATCTACTGTTTTTAAATTGTTTTCCTGAGGCGGTATCCCAGGTTGATTGACTGGAATCACACTTTTTGCCCTGGACCTGTTGCGCCTCCAGGGGGCAGCACTTTCATCCCCTCTTTCTGATGAGCACCTCTTCTCAGTCAGAGTGGCTGAGGGCTTTGGCAAGACCTTAGGCGGAGGAGGGGGAGGGATGGGTTTAGGAGCAGTGGGAGGAGGGGGCTCAACTGCTGCTTTCTGGCATGACTGCACCTCCTCTATATGCAGAGTCTCTTTTCTGTGTGCCTCTGTAAGCTCCTTGTAAAAAGTCAAGTCGCACCATTTAGGGATACTATCTGTGGGAAGAATAGAGGTGTCCTCTTGGCCAAAGGGGAACCGGTTAAAATCTCTCCATGTTTGGAAAGGACTAAACTCACTGTGTAGGAAAAAGTTTTTGATGTTAAGTTTCCTTAGTTTGATAGTGGATTTCCCATGTTTGCTCTTTAGGGATTTCCCAGAGATGATGGCAGCATCTTTGCCTGTTTTGTTAGATGAACCATCACCTGACTGATGTCGATGATGGTTCTTGTAATCTCCACCTGTGAGATTGGTGTGATAATCCGAGGAGAATTCCGAAAGCTCTCTTTGGATGCTGCGAAGTGCAGACTTATCCCATGATTCCCCGATAGAGTCTGTCATACCTCCATTTTTGATCAACATCCCCTCACGGCTTTCCTCTGTAGCACTTAATGCCTTGAGGAACGACGACATGTGGGACATATTCTTCTGGTGCTGCTGTTTCCATGGCTGAGCATAGTTCTTGTCAGTTTTGTTTTGCCCTTGCTTTTTAGATTCCTTGTGATGAGTCTTTTTAAGAGGCTCCCCCACCAAAGGTTTGTGGCAGCTGAAAGGTGAGTATCCGTACGACAACTCGTCATTGTAAACCCCCTCATCTCCAACGCAGAGACTTCGGAAGGCTCGATCGGTGAGAGTGCTGACCTCTCGATCCGTCTCGTCCATGAACATGTCGGTGAAACCGTTGGGGAAGCGATGGTGGAGCATGCTTCCCACCCGATGGCTCATGTGTCGCTTTTCCACACAGTTCATGATGTCAACAACCTTCTTTCAGTCTCGTGCATCCCCGGTCTTGCCTCCTTTACAGCTCCTGCAGCTTTGTAATTCCGTTTTTTTGTCCAGCTCAGGTCGACATAAGGGAGTTGGTGGGATATGTAAACTTCCTAAAACGAGACAGTAAAGTTAGCGTCAGTGTTTTAAAAGGATTGCTTTTAAACCAATCTACTCAGTCACACATTGTAAGCAGTCATCACTCAAAACTATGTGCAGTTCAAAAGCTCAGCTTTTATGATCCCTATAAAAGGTTTCCAACTCTGTAGTTGCACGGATGACCTTTACATCACATGTGCCGGCTTCAGCCATGCTGTCATATTGCAGGCATCATACAAACACTTCATACCATGCGCTTGGCTATTTAAGGCACTGTATGGTGCCTTAAGCTGTGAGCACTCAGCATACTGTTGGTGGCTATGAGAACAGCTCCTAGCTCATTTATAGGGAGGTAATTAGAAAAATGTAACATTTTCATTTGTTTGTGTGTACATTTCAAAGGAAAGACCCATGCCTCTGCAAAGCTTCGGAAAAAACATCCACGCCTGCAGGTTTACGCCACAAATCAGAGGAAATGCAAGTATATCATCACATCAGTCACAGAGGCCCTTGGCAGCAGCTGTTCTACTGTAGCTTACTTTATCTGGGTGAGGTCTTAGAATAGCCCATTGATATGCCTTGACCTGGGAGCACAGCCACTGCCATATAACTCAATTCTTCAAGTATCTAGTACATAAACATGACTCTCCATATAAGCAGAATGGTTTGAGACAAATATAAACACAGTCATTCAATGATTCAGTTATGTGTGTGATTGTATTTGTACATACAATCTCAGCTGTTAACAGTAGTTAATGTTTACAGTTAACAAGGATTTGAATAGCTGTAAGTTAGTTTACAAAAGCCCAATAAGACAAATTATTATTACTCTTTGTTATTATTGTGAATAAAACCTAACAAATCAGGTACAATTACTCGAACCTATTGACTTTACTGTATTCTTAGCCTGACTTGCAGAATGTTTGGCTTTCCAGGAGACTTTGGCCGCCAACAGTCCACCAGCTCTCATGACTACAGATCAGTTCGCAACCACGGTACTTTCCCAGCATCTGCTTGTGTATTTATACCCATATAGCCCAGTTAACTATACTCTACATATGTGCAACCATTCAAAAATGTATTTTCTATTTTCCTTAAAGATGTGTAAATATTGGTTTAAATGATATGATATTGTGTAATGATTTCATAGCAATAAAATGCAGGGGGCCTTGTGCTGTAGGTCTTTTTAAACATACATGTTTAGAACAAATTTAAAACTTGTTATATCTTATGTTCTGTCCACTGGGCCTCAGTAACATCCATATAATCACACAGCTCCTTTACCTTGGTGATGTGTCTTTCATAACTGTCCAGTCTAGACGGTGTATCAAACACAAAACATCAGTGAAGAATCCAAAGGAAAATCTGCTGCAACCTGCTGAGAATGAATTCTAGTTAGTGTGCTGTCATCCACAGTAAACAAACTCTTTTTCTTGAAGTTGAAGAAACAAAGAAAACTCACCCCGAGTGTCTCAAGCCCTCAGTTCCATGTTCAAATGCACTGGTGTGGCAAGGGGCTCTGAGAGCGAGCTCAAAAGATACCAAAATAGACGCACAAGTCGGTGTGGCCAAACTGAGCAGCAACACAGGGCGCAGCTAGCTAGCTCACATTGGAATAACCAGAAGGTGTCGAGTGGCAGGGCAAGACGGCCAGCAGGATGAAATGGACACTGTCATTGGTTATTTTTGTAACCGAGCAGTGAGGACTGATAGGCTCCTTTCTTTACCGTTTATACACCTTTATAAAGATGACGGGGCCTTCGTGTCAATGAACATGAGGCATCGATACTTTGAGTCTTGCTGGGGACAATACAGACAGGCTTGGTGTACTTACATTTAGCTTGTGACTCATTTGGCTTCTGTCACCCAGGGAAACAAGCTTTCTGATATAGCCCATTGCATCACACAACTGACAGTAACCAGTCCCTGAAGTGGAGATTGGTAGCTGGATGTGGCTGTATGTCTGCTGACTTTGGTGGGGCTGGGCTGGGCTAATTCTTGTTGTTCAAGCTATGTTTACAAGGCTGTGTTGAGAAACATGAATGTGTGTTACTGGGTAGTCTAGTTTTAGGACCAATGCAGCTGTTGTTGCTGTGAGATTAATCTGCAATGGGGTGGGGGTCATTATGTTGACTTGCAAGCCTTGGTGAGTCAGAGGAAGTCAATGGATGAGGTCAGTGAAGCTTGACCTCGTGCATTCCCGAAATGGAAAAAGGAGTGGAGTGTTTAATAAATACTGTGTGACTCAACTTGGTTTTATATGCCACCTAGAGAACAATATGCACAGACTACTGCCTGTATATAGCGTCACCATAACCTGTTGCATCTGTTTCAATAGAGTATTAGCCAGAAAATGAGCTTTGAAAGCATGAAATCACAATCTCTGTTGAGCCCTCGTTGGGTCCAGCAACAACTCCGTGGCCCCAGCATCCAGTGTGTGGCTGTGCTCCATCAAGGTGCCATATTTAAACCCGTCTATTTCTGTCATGTTGTATATCAGAAGGTAACAGCCTGCCTCTCTGCCGACTGCACCCTCCACACTTGCTGAGCTTGCACATGTATTTGACTTACTTTAGGCAGTAACACATGCGATCTTCTACAAAAATGGCAATTATATTTATGATCAATGGACAAATACTGTCGTGATTGAATGTATCAGTCAAAGTTCATGAATTAGGTTTAAAAGGTAACTTAAAACTGTACTCCCTTGATATGCAACGGATATACAGATTTATACAAATTTACATTTCATTTTCTTGTATTTGCAAAGCATGATTGCACTTGCAGATAATGCGGTGTGTTCATTTTCAGAAAAGGGAACAGTCCCTGCATTGTTTTGGGGAGATAGACTTTGCTGAGCAGTCTGGGAATATCCTATTGTGAGCAGAGACACTATGTCTCATGTCTTGCCCAGAATAACGCCTCACATGGTGTCTGCCCCCTTCCTCCTCTAGCCCTTTTCTCACCTTTGTCTTTATGCCTCCAACCCTCCGACAGCTAATTTGACCCAGTGCTTGTGCCAGCTGCCTATTTATATGGGTCCCAGCCAAAAAAAGCTAACGCAGGCTAATAGTAGTTGAAGCAAAATTCTGGCTAAAATCAAACTTAGAAAACAAAGATTGTGCTAAACTGTTGCTCACATATTACAGAGCATACAGATGGACAACAGAGACATGCGTTATATTGTCTACCTTTTAATTTATCTGTTTAGTCTTTTGTAATTTGGACTAGGCTTGCAACAGTTTATCGCATTTAATAGGAATGCATGAAACAACGTAGAGCATTTTATAGTCACATTCATAACCAATGACCGATGCTTAGGATTGATTTGGCTTGGATATACCTGCCTTACAAACACAGACAGATGATTTATACAACAGTCCACCAAGGTCAGGATTCAGTCTTTGTTTGTGCCATTATGACTGACACCCACATGTGTTCTGGTTGACTGTGAAACCGCAGGGAGCCATCATGCAGCTCGGGTCTTGCTCGTTCATGCCCACTGAGAGCTGTGACAGACAGGCAGAGAGGATAGCTGGCCTTCGGGGTTATGGGGCCAGTAAACCCAGGTATGGTAACTTTAGGACAGCTGACGCCGATCATATACATACAGTAGCTGACATGAACTCAGTGACAGAGAAACGCTGTAACTTACCGGCACACAAATTGTATTTCGATTAAAGAAATCTCATCTTTATGTCAACGCAGTAGTTACGACAGGCCCTAGTGCACGCAGTTAGTAGTTACATAAAGCACACACACACACACACACACACACACGTCATCAGACATGACATTGGACAATATCAACAAATATATTACACAGCAAATTGAATTATAGTTTACTGTGTATGGTGACGTGAAGAGTCAAATAGGTCTCTGCAGAAATGAAGCTGCTGGTGTTATTTTTAAAGATGACAAAGGTGTTTCCACACAGGCAGTTCAGTTATTTTGACCTGTCTGAAAGACGTTTATTTTTCTGATTTCATAGGCACAGCTCCAATGTAACGTAACTTTATCACACAGCGTCTCATTATTTTGCCTTGTGTGAGGGGAGCGATGACAGGACCGCAATAACTGATACCCCCACGAGGTCTGATACGGCAGGCGGCTGACCAATCAAAGGGGAGCATTTGCACGCTGCAAATGCAGTTACGTCATTGTCGCATTAAGAAGTGGAGCTGTTAAATGTGGTCGAAAACCAACTGCCAGACACACTATCAGTAGGATCCAGTCTAATTTCAGCTGAGACCTTGACCCATTATATTTTATTGGCAGTAATAAATCTGGGGAGCATCTCAGCAACATATGGCCCACAAATCTTTCCATCCAAACAACACCAGCTACCTACATCTAACAATCGATGTCAACAAATATCATTGCCAACCACTTGATGCTGAAAATACATGAGAGAATAAATTGCTTATGGATCTTTTGCATCTACTTATGTCCTCTTGTGTGTGTTTTTTTTAATTTTTTAATATCACTAACCCACCAGGGACTGCAGATGAAAATTTGCCTGAATGGCCGAATCTGGCACATTTACATGCTGGCAAATGATAATTAATGTTGATTATCTCTTCTTTAATCAAATAAAACATAGACATAAATACATAAAACTTGAGTAGAGCATGAAATAAAATTTGCTTCGATTTTCAGAATGATTCAATCAATGTTAAAACTGTGGCTAAAACTCACCCCGATAAATGCGAGGGGCCTTGCATTACAGCAGCTCATATAGGACGTTCAACATAAGCCAGATAGACACGAAATCTTTTCATCAGCAAAGCCACAAGCTCAGGAAACTGCTCGTCATTATATACGAGAAAGAAAAAAAACCCAAACTCATAGTGCTTCAAAAAGTCAGTGAGCTGACCAGAAACGCCACGAGAAATGAGAGCATTTCAGACTTGTGGGTGTGTGTCAGCGCTCATCAGGGCTGTCCTCATCACTGGTGAGTACCACGTATGCCTGTATGTTGTAAAGATTATATTTCTAAACCTTTACACAGATGTGATAATGCGGTGGTGAGGAATTAGATAGCATGAAGCATGCTGTGTATTGTCCTACAGCGTCCTGTGAGGTTTTTTTGTAGTTTTTACAATGACGATGGGAAAGACCATTCGATGTCAGCATGCTCATCTTCACAGTCGTGTTCTCTTTTAGTTAAGAACAAACATCTGACTATACAAATTATTGTGCCATAGAAATGTAGAACTTCTGTGAAAACAGAAAATGAAACAGTAACTACACTCTAGTTTATGTATCTTACTTGTCTGCCAGAGAGACACAGCCAACTAGACAGCTAAAACAGGTTAGCTAGTTAGTTAGCCACGGCTAGTCTTAGCTAAAGCCCCCAAAAAATAAACTGCATTTTCAAAATGTAAAATTTTGTAAACTGCATTTCCCCTTACATTTAGCCTACTGAACGGCCAAAGGAAGAATGCAGTCGGCTATTTGCATTGTTTTTGCAGGTGTTTGCGTGCCATAATTATTTGGGAATAAAATAATAAGTCCAAAAACGCAAAATATGAAGGCGTTACAACCGTTCTATTTTTTTGCACAGCTCGTCGGCCAGCCTGAACAATTTAATTCCCTTTTTTTTCTCCATTTCGCTGCTTCTGTTAACGCTCCAAGCCTTTGAAAAGAAGTATAGTTCATCAAAATTCAAATTGTGTGTGTATGCCAGTTCCAAAGCACATTGTAGTACAAGTTGTTTTATTGTCTGAAAACTTGCATAATGTATCTTGACTTTGTGCTGTGAGTCGAAGCCCCAGAGTGCTGCCAGACTGCCCCATGCCCTCTGCTTGCTGGACATGACACGTTATGCAAAAGGTCGCCCTCTGGTCACTGGAAACGTTATCTCTTCCAACACTCAGGGCGCGTTAAGCTGAAATGACCATAGACTGCTAACGCTTTGAACTCCAGTTCTTGACCTTCAGCGAGGTGCTGGTTGTTGTACAGATCACCGATCGGGAAATGCATGTTTCTGCACCCGAAAATCTCATCTAATCCTACAACATACTGACAGAAAGATAACCACTGGGAATGGTCATTTGTTGATTGGCTGTTGGCCGCTTAACTTGTGTTTATTTTATTTCTCACATTAACAGCGGGCCAGCTCCCAGAGCTGCCAGAGGAATGTGACTCACGGCTGTAAAATGTAAGATAGCCACTTGCTGAGCATGTGTGCTCTGTTTCAGCAAACACTCTGCTCCGCTCTCACAGTCACAGTCATGTCCAGCCACCCCACAGTACCACTCCTCTGTCTTTTTGGCGTCCGAACCGGAGCAGCTGACTGTCTGGCTCAATGTGGTATCTAGGATTTCTCTTTCTACAATTTCAATTTTTCCACTTTAGCGGCTAAAACGTGTGACACAGAAAGCGAGACACTTTGGATGTCAGAATGACTAGTCAAGGAGCTATTGTGATCCCGTGGAGCTTGTGTGCACCAAGCCGAGGAGACAACATGGACCAGGAGTCGTGTAAAACCAGCCAGCATGTCTGATTATAGCCTTTTCAAAGTAGCATTTCACGGCCTTGATTCTAAACACATAATTGCCACAGTTGCTCACCGTGAGCCGACACACTCCTCAATGGACAGCATAGCTGGTAATCTCAATGTTCACTTTTGTTTTCCAGCGTAAAATAAAACGGCTTTAGACTGAATTCAACTTTTGAAATCTGTTCATCTATTCAGTTTAATCTAAAGTCTCCAAACTGCAACTCCCGAGTTGTGGAAAGTGAAACGTAACGTTGTGAATTGACACGAAACAACTTAAGGTTCAAAAACGAATGAAGGAAAAAAAAAAAACTCTATAGTGTAGCTGGCCCCTTCCATCCCGTATCTATGAGGCTGATGACCGCTGATAACCCCCCATTCAGCCGGATGAATCAAGCGGGTCGCAGCAGCAATGTTTGAAGAGTGCTGCAGATTACTACAGGAGCATGAAAGCTTCCCCTCACCGCTGAGCATTGAGCAACTCTTTGTACTGTGCAGAACGCTGAGACCCAGCTCGGCCTTATCTGATGTCGACATCACCTGTGGTGGTATACCTCCATCCTGTCTGAAAAGCATGTTTTTGTGACCTGAAAATGAATTCAGCGTAAACAATATGTTTCAGGATGCCTGCTGATGAGTGTGAGAGGAGATGGAGCAGATTCTGCAGAGCAACTAGGTGGGTCAACAGGTTTACGCACACAGGTGTACAGTGAGTCAATGAGTACAGGCTGTGTTGTAGCACATACAGCATGACCCATGAAGCTAAATCTAAATATTTGTTAAGCAATAATATGGAAATAATGAGACTGTAAATTCCTTTGAGTTTGTTATCACATGTTGTGTAAAGTTTTTAGAGCAAAACCTTAAAAAGTCAGTTTTGCGGCCTCTTGGTTCTGACAAATCCAAGGAACATTAACTTTGAGGAGGTCAATGGCTCCTAACCTTTTGGGCAAGACCACTACAGGGGGTCACAAGATACATTTTAGGGGTCACGAGATAATTAATAGGAGACACTTTCCACTAATCTTTGCTCTCTTTTTGGTAAATAAATGGATAAGTCAAAGCTCTATTGTCTGGAAAGGGCTCACGCTTCATAAACCGGGCTATTTTTATGAGAGAGTTTGAGTGTTTTGTTGAAGAGGGGAGAGTGCTGGCTCATACTGACCAGCAGTGACCCCCCCCTCAATGACTCTTAAACATTCAGGATTCAAATTGCAGACACTCGTGACGCAATACAATTTTCAGAAAGGAGCATGATACCATGACTGAAACTTTTATCTTTCATGGAGTAAACAAGTTGTGAAATCAAACATCTCCCCCCCCTTCTTTCACACACACACACACACACACACACACACACACACACACACACACACACACACAGTTTAACGTGTCAGGGGGGCTGAAGATGAGCTGGCGTTCCTCGAACAGATGTTCTGTTCTGTCACAGGTATTACGTTGCATCTTGTCTGTTGAATGGCCGTGTGATGCCTGCCGGTTGTTTTCCTTCCAGAGATTAAGTATGTTTTGATCGGCGGAGGGATCGGCCTGTTCTTAGCTGCTGGATATATTGTTCTCAAGGTCTGCATCCTCAGGAAGGAATTCAGCAAAACCCGCACAGGTAAGGGCACGGACTGTGAGATCACATTACAGCCATTTACTAGTTCATTTTCTGAACCACTCATTTCCTCCTCTTGTATTTGTCTGTTTAGATTCTCCTGAATTTTTATTTCTTATGTAAATCAAGTTGTAAAGTCGGACAAAATATGTCTCGGTGCTTTGTTTAGTAAATGAACATCAACTGTTCTTCTTCCCTACAGATGGAAGCACGAAGAGACCTTCAGAGGTAAACACTGGTCGGCACAATACTTATATACAATCAAAACTAATTTAATTCAATGATGTCCCTCCATGAACTCCAATATTTCCTGATGACACAAACAGAAATACACTTTCTAACTTTCTTGCATTTCGTCAATTGATGGAAACACGTTTGCATCAAAAGTTGCAGGTTCCAATAACCTTTTATTTACTCTCAGCTGCAGCCCAACATGCTCGCTTTGAGCCATCTCAGCTAATCGGAGCATCCCAGAGGAGGCGGTTTCCAATGACAAGCAATGTTAAAGGTCGGGCGGAGTGATTTGCAGCATGATGGTGAACCCTGCAGAGGTGGCATCTTGGTGAAAGGTCAACCAGGCGGGCCCCGTTGTCCGCTCACGTTTTGTCTCACGACAACCTAAATCTGTGTCATCCTTGCATTTGAACTTCAATAACGTGTATCATTATGGTTTTCACGATCCGATTTGTAATATAGCATTTTTATTTGGCTGTGGAGTTGTGTTGTTGGAAACACATAGAAGGTTTCAGCCATTTAAGAGACTGAACATGTGTTTTGTTTCACTCTTTCTTGGGAAAATCCAACTGCTCCACTGACACACATACTGCCCATGGATTATTTAGCACCACTCAGCAGAAAACCTCTGGACTAATAAGCACTTCACATATTTCCCACAAGGGAGTGACATTTACCTCCAAGAATAAGAAAAACAACAACCGTAGACCAACTTTAGTCCAGTTACACATCTGAACACCAGCGGAGCCTTGTAAACAAAGCTTTGTAATTTGATGACTTGTATTTACGCCTGAACATAAAGGGATGGGACATTTAATCACATCTGGATCATAATAATGTGGTCCCAGTTCCCCCCTCATGAAGTCCCATATATTAGACATCAAAGATCATCTCTACCGTACCATAATCTTGGCTCTTTCGAAGCATTTTTCCCCCTTGCAGGGGTCTTTGTGTTCAAGTAAATAGCATGGCACTGTGGGTGTCTGAGTGTCGTTTCTTTCACACCAAGCATTTCATGGATAGAAACAGTAGCCTAACACAACACCGTACTATTATACATTGTTTTATTAACCTGAAGAATCCTCACACTCCGATAACATTTCATTTGTCTTCTGTTTTCTAAACGAAAATATCAATATCCCTTAAAGGACTTTAAAGCTGAGGTTAAACCTTTGGAAACCATCTTAAACTTTACAAATATAAGTTTAATATGAACATATCTGTATAACTCATTGTAGAGTTGCACTTACTCTAAGCACCTTTGGTGCTCAGGCTATCTATAACGTGTTTCAACTCTGCACCATATGATCTATATCATACTAATCAGAGGCTGAGTGTACTGCCACGTTTGTGAGACGGCCTCCTCCAGCCCACAGATGGATAAAGAAGAACCAATAAAAAAAAGTCTTCTCTAATATCCTGGTAACCCTATATTGCAAACAAGAATAAAACCTTAACAGATGTAGTCATTTCTTCACCTATTTTTCTCATCATTGTACTGTACTGTTCACTCCATGCCTATATGCTAGTGCTGCAGCTGTAGAAGTCCAGTTAACTGCCTGCTTGATAAGCTCATGTTACACTCTGGCTCCATCCTCAAGAGGAATTAAAGCTGCCATCAAGATATTTATATTAACAATGGAACAAATGAGAATGTGTAGTGTCAAAGGGAGTTTCTGGTAAGGGAAGAACCCACAGAGAATTATCACCCAGTTTCTTTAATTTGATCATAATTTCGGCTCATGGTTTTGGTTTTACAGCACTCCAACTTCACCGTTTTGGTAAAGTTCTAACTGCTCTCATGAAGATTTGATCACTCCTGACTCTTCGAATACCGACGGTTGGTCAGTGCCCCTCGACGTCTGATACCGATGCATCGCATTGTCAACTAACTGCAACGTAAACCTACCCGCGTCATTATCAGACGGTCAGTGCAACTGATGTAATATAAAGTGTGCGATAGTTCACACAGTGTGGGTGGGAAGTGAGGTGGATGGGTCAAACAAGACAAGACTTGCGTCCATGGGTACATCCCAAGTCTTCCGCTTGAACCGGAAGTTGTTCTGCTCCGCCATATTGACGGCCGTCCCAAAGGTCTTATTTCTGATCTGAGGATCGAGGAGGGATCTCCGAAGAGCCATGAGCGAGGACGCACAAGAACAGCCTTCCAGGAAGTGTTTTAATGGCTGACACGCCCCCTTATTGTTCATCAGTTATGTGATTGGACGCTGCAGCCGATCGGACTGATAAGATTTTTTTCAACATGTAAACAGTGAAGACTCAAGCTTTATATTTGATTAGCTTCTGATTCACCATCTGGTTTAAATGTATGTTCACTGTAGACGGAATATAAAAAGGACCACAAACAACTTTCATTTATAAGAAAGATTTGTCTTTTTATGATCTGATATTTCCCTCAATAACTTGATAACTAGACTTGTTTTGATGAGTCATATAATTTAAGAGAAACCATAATCATATTCTGGGTTATAATGACGTCACAGTCAATTTTAAAACGTACAGACGCAAATAAGTCATAAATAAGTCAAACGCATTCCGTCGGTAGAAATCGATCCTGCGCTTATAAACAGAACACGGAGGTAACAGGCTACAGAGAGGAAGCACCTCTACTCTGACAGTGATGAATACTGTATCTTTATACCTCGCATGGTTTCCTTGCGTCTCTCCATGCATCCCTAGTGGGAGGGACTAAGTGGGGTGCAAGTGAGGTAAACGGGGATGCAATTAAGAGACTTGGGATGTACCCCATGACACCGCTAGCTCGTGTCCCATGCCAAACTAAAAAGTAAATGTTGACATTTGTCACGTCCGTCGTTAGTCACCGGATTCGTTCAAGGTGGTGTTCGTTACTAGTCACGTGACTCGCGCGTCACTCGCTTGTCGAGTCAGTTGTTAGTCACTCTTTGGTTTAACCTACCCACTGTTGCTTTAACCTAACTTCCTGTCAAGATGGAAGTTTATTTTGAAAAGACACCATTCCTTTAAAAAGCAGATCCTGACATGCCGTCCCTGCCACATCCAACACTGACGCTAGATGGGTGCCAAGGGTGTCACAGTTGAAGCGTAGGGCCACTGACCAAGCCTCGGTATTTGACGAGTTGAGAGTGAGAATGTTTATTTTCAGATAATAGTTCTGATAAACGGAAGATGGACAAAGTTTGCAACTATCTGGGGAACATAGTGAAAATGTAGCAGCAGGAGCCAGATATTTTCCTCAGGAGGTGGTGGACACCAAAACAAAGCTAAAGGAGAGTGGAGTGTCTGCTGGATGCGAGTAGCACTTTTTGCGTCTTTCAGCTCATTGTTTTGGTTTCAAAGCCCACAAACGCTGCTCTCGCACACAGTTTTTTTTCAAAAACTGTTCCGACAAAACGATTGTCTGCTACCTGGCCAGCACCAAATGGCGGACGGACAATTTAGCAACTGGCCGGTGAAGAAATTCAAACCCCTAACAAAGTAGTCAGAATTTTCTATCAGGAGTTTAATGTGAAGACCAAAAGAGAGCTAAAAGGAGAGCAAATATAAAACTTATACTTGTTAGGTCACCATAAAAACAGCTCTAGATGAATGCTGATATTTTCTGTCTGTTTGATGTGAAAGTACGTAGCGGTTTGCTAACGTGATGTTATCAGATGTCATGTTTTTTGCTTGTTGTGGAGCTTCTCTTCCACCAAAGAATTCAGTTCAAGCAGCTTTAAGATACAATTTTACTATAATATGCTATTCACTCACTTTCCACACAGTGTTGTGGACTAGCTAGTTAAGGAAAACAAGAGTTTTGCGCTGGACCGTTTAGATTGTTTTTCAAAATCTGTCTGAAAGTCATAGAGACAGACAGAAAGTCATCGAGAGACAGACAGAAAGTCATCGAGAGACGGACAGAAAGTCAGAAAGAAAGTCAGATGGACGGACAGAAAGTCGGAGACAGACAGTCAAAAAGAGAGACAGAATCAGACAGACAGAAAGTCAAAGTTTTCTAAAAATCTCTATTTAAAACAATACGAATGAGCAAAACATTGTTGTCATGGCAATAATCAGAACAAATAAACAAATGAAAAACACAAACAAATAAAGTTACTCTTCACAAAAAGAGTGTTAAACAAGTCAAATGGAGAGAGAGGCTCAGGCAGGGTGACTCAGGCAGGGTGACTCAGGCAGGGTGACTCAGGCAGGGTGACTCAGGAAAAATCACACAGACAAAGTCAGAAAGAAAGTCAGACGGACGGACAGAAAGTCGGAGACAGACAGTCAAAAAGAGAGACAGAATCACACAGACAGAAAGTCAGAAAGAAAGTCAGGCAGAAAGTCAGAGACAGACAGACAAAGTGCAAAGAAGGAGGGAGGGAGGCAGGCAGGCAAGCAAGCAAGCAAAGAGGGAGGCAGGCAGAGAGGGAGGGAGGCAGGCAAGCAAGCAGAGGGAGGGAGGCAAGCAAGCAAAGAGGGAGGCAGGCAGAGAGGGAGGGAGGCAGGCAGGCAATCAAGCAAAGAGGGAGGCAGGCAGAGAGGGAGGGAGGGAGGCAGGCAAGCAAGCAAAGAGGGAGGGAGGGAGGGAGGCAGGCAAGCAAGCAAAGAAGGAGGGAGGGAGGGAGGCAGAGAGGGAGGGAGGGAGGCAGGCAGGCAAGCAAGCAAAGAGGGAGGGAGGCAAGCAAGCAAAGAAGGAGGGAGGGAGGGAGGCAGGCAAGCAAGCAAAGAGGGAGGGAGGCAGGCAAGAAAGCAAAAGAAGGAGGCAGGCAGAGAGGGAGGGAGGGAGCAAGCAAAGAGGGAGGGAGGCAGGCAGAGAGGGAGGGAGGGAGGCAGAGAGGGAGGGAGGCAGGCAAGCAAGCAAGGCAGAGAGGGAGGGAGGGAGGCAGGCAGGCAAGCAAGCAAAGAGGGAGGGAGGCAAGCAAGCAAAGAAGGAGGGAGGGTGGGAGGCAGGCAAGCAAGCAAAGAGGGAGGGAGGCAGGCAAGAAAGCAAAAGAAGGAGGCAGGCAGAGAGGGAGGGAGGGAGCAAGCAAAGAGGGAGGGAGGCAGGCAGAGAGGGAGGGAGGGAGGCAGAGAGGGAGGGAGGCAGGCAAGCAAGCAAAGAGGGAGGCAGGCAGAGAGGGAGGGAGGCAGGCAAGCAAGCAAAGAGGGAGGGAGGGAGGCAGAGAGGGAGGGAAAGAGGGAGGCAGGCAAGCAAGCAAAGAGGGAGGGAGGGAGGCAGAGAGGGAGGGAGGGAGGCAAGCAAGCAAAGAGGCCTTTATATTGGTTTAAATGATCAGATCCCCTTCCAGGTAGCAGGTGCTTGTGATTCTATACAGGCAGTATGACGCGTCTCCTTTAAATAAAAAGTTTGGAATTTTATGTGGTACTTATTTAGCTTTCAAGTCAATAAAGTAGTAAAGGAAAAACTAAGTTTGCTAGTGTAATGCATGCACAGAAAACACATTGTGATAAGTGTAACCACAAATATTAACAATATCTGGTGCAATTGATCTTGTTTTGAACAATAAGATTAAACAATAATAAAAAGTTCAAAAACATTTATTGAATTTCAAATATATTCTTAATATATTATATATATATATTATATATTTATAATAGTACATTGCAAATACATTGCCAATAATTGTACTATTTGCAAATATATAAAATATACTAACATTTTTCGTCTAACAATTTGCAAATTAAATCTTTAAACACACTTTCAAATAAATGTAATATAGTGCATTTTCGAGAAATATAACAAAAATATACTTAACAGAGAGCAAAAAAAATTCTGATTTAAGTTGATATGGTACATGTATTACTAAACAAAACAGAATGACCATGTTTCAAATTAAAATAACACAGAACACTGAACCATCAAAACAAATTGCACCGCTGCAGACTCTCGCTCACTAAATAGAAATA